GTGATCATAAAAGATCAATCAAAAATTTCCCATTGGGGTGTGGTTGGAGGGGGTTCAAATGTCTCCCACTTGGTCGTCACAACAACAGGCTTTACATTTGCATTTGATATCTTCAGCACATCCAAACTTTCAACACATTTCTGCACCCTCTTGCCCTGGAAAAAAGCAACTTCCAAAATTAGCCTTCTCATTGCACTAAAATTAGCTCAAAACCTTAATATATATACACAAATTCTCCTATACGGACGTCTGAACGTAATTACTGTGCCGACGCTATGTATTTTTCACTACTCCTCCCTCATTTCCTCTATGTTTACAATGGGTACGTCTGAATGAGATAATAACTATATATATATGTATGTATATTACCTGCAAAGTTTTTTGAGCAACAGCATCTCCTTCTGCAGAAATGTTGTCCAGCTTGATGGCTTGCCTCATGAGCATCTCAATCAGTGTTGTGATCTGAACTTCTGCTACTTTGACTCCATTTGAGATGGATTTTTCAATTGCAGAGACCTATGAAAGAAAGAGGAAATTACTAAATAAGTATTAGGTGACCAAAAAGAATCAAAAGATAGGTAAGCGATGGCTGAAAAAGGACAATGCATTACATAAATATTTCATTTAGATTCCCATACTCTAGTGCAACTTTAAAATGTAGAAAACAACATCCATATTATTGTTCTAGGTTTGGAATATCTACCAAACATCTCTTTTAATAGAAAAAAAATAAAAAAAATTGAAGAATCTAAGCTGCTCGATACCATTCGTATGCATAATTGTATCGATGGGAGATAGACGTCAAGATCAAAACTTTATGATTATAAGAAGTTTATACACCAAAATAGTTGGCTTAATCTATATATAATTTCTAGTTTCAATATAATTTGTACATAACTATACTTTCTAGTTTCAATATAATTTGTGTTTATGCATGCAAAATTTCCACCCATTCTAACAAACAATCTCATGATGTACATCGAACCAAGCAATTATTCAACCACCACTAACTGGGCTCTCACAAATTTATTTATTTGAAAAGAAACTGGGCTTTCATAAAATCACTATGTTGGCCCCTGGAAAGCCCCCAGCTCATGATTAAGTTTTACAAGAAAGATGATCCACTGTGTAAAACGAAGTCCTGAGTCAATTCAATCCAAAAGGACCCCACTAAAACCCAACTTAAAGGTCAAGATTCAACATCCCAAGCCCAGCTGTCTCACCCACTTTTGATGCAAGCATTACACTCCCAATCGAACGGCTGACCTCACTCCAAATTTTTTTATCCAACTTAAAAACAAGCCAACATAAAATAAACATTGACAAAGTGAGGTCTGGGGTCTGCTTACCTGCTCCGCGAGCTTATCGACCTCCACGGACACGTCCGATATGGCGCGATGTGCGCTCTGGATCTTAGCATTTCGACGCATCTCATCGGCCCTTCTCTCGATGCTCGCTGGGTCCTCGATCAGTATGACTTTTGACCGGTCTTTGACCCCGCACATGTCCAAGTACTCAACGTTTTCTCGCTCTTTTCCTCTGAATATTAGCCTCTGCTCGCCAGGCTGTAACCCTGTCTCTACCATCAGAACCTTCTTCAACTCCCCTGCACAGTACATTTTGGTTCCAGTCCAGTCAACTCCCCATTATAATTTACCATTTTACCCTCACATTTCACCACCACTCACTCACTCAGAACCACCAACATTGCACTCTCTAATTGGATGACAACATAGTCAATTCAATTTTAAAGCAAAAACAGTAATCTAATGATTTTTTCCCTCCAAATTACTGATAATTACTGTTTTGTTTGGTTACCGAGAAAATGTGATTAATATATATTCTCGGGAGCCAAACAGAAAGCAAAGAATGACGTGTCAAAATACAGAATGCGAAAGGTTAAATCAAGCAAATTAATTACCGAAGGTGGATCGAGAAGCTGCCGAGATCTCGTACCGCATAGCACCGAAAGCAATCCGAAGCCGTAAATTCGGAGCCGGAGCGTCCGAGTTCTCACCTCTTTTCTGAACCAGCATTCCTCCGGGTCTCATTTCCCACGCAACTTCCTCGTCCCTTGACGTCGAAGACGGCGGCGTATTGGAGCTATCCCTGGCTCTGCCGTACGAATTGGACCTTCGCTTCAACATTTTCCTGTTTTTGAAATTCGGCGGAATTTTCCGGGAAAATATCCTGGGGTTTTATGTTTGAATCTGTTTTTTCGGGAAAATATCTCTCCGCGGCATGAATGAATGCGCTGTTTTCTGCCGACACAAATAGAGTGTCATTTGGGGGGGTTTTTTATAGTGTGGGTTTGGTTTCGAATACATGAGGGAAATAACAAGGGATATGTTTTGACCACTGGCAGAGTGACACGTGTCGGGGTGCGTCAGGATTAGTGTCGAGTGACAGCTAAGCGGAGAGAGATCGCCGACAGTCGAAGGAAGGAAGCATTCAAGCATCCAAAGAGTAATTTGGTTGACACGTGGACAACAGTAATTGGGTTTTACTGTGTGGGGTCCTGCTTGGTTTCGTTTTCATTGGACGAAAATGTTTGCACGTGAAGTTATGTGGCACCTACGAATTGACGCGTGTAGCTTTCAGATGGAAAATAAATTGTGGGTGAGGAAAGGGAGGTATTTGGCGTGATGATATCATCAGAGTCGTAGTATGGAGTTTAAGTCATTTGATCCAAGGGTGGAGAGTGATGTATGGATTAATTTCAATGTGACAGAGATTTTTGCTTAGAGTTTTACTAATTTTGTTGTTAAGGGATAATTAAGGCGTAACAACTTATGGTTAGTGTGTGATATAATCAAAAGTGATTAAGCCCTTGACGAAGCCTAATGTCTTTTTTTGTGATTAGCAATTCGACTATGGTTCAAGAGCATATGATGATGTAGTAGCTGTGTTGTTTGAATTGTATGATCAAAACATAATTATTATCATATTATGTTTAATTCTTAATCTAAGTGTCGAGCATTATTGATTACCCACTTTTTAAGTTTATTTTCATAGGCCACGTTAGATGGACTAGTCATGATAGGATTGTGACCAGTTCTAATCCGAATAATTGTCCATTGTAGCACTAGTAAGTAAAGTCCCACTTTTATTAAGAACACCGAACACCGAACGTGAAACATAACAATTGTCTATTTTAATTGAAATAGTCTTTTACGATCAAAGCTTACCAAACCACCCTTATAGACCGTATAACTTCAAAATCCTTCTACCAACAAATGTAACCTTAAACACTGTATTCATATAGATCAATAGTGTGGCAAATGACAAATGAATGATTTTTCGGGGGGTAAATTAAACGAAGGCTGTATTTTTATTACCAAGAAAAGCTTAGGCAGTCGAATGATTGAATTGCCAGACATTGATGGGTCTAGGGGTGGGCATCAATCCGGCCGAATTGATGAAACCGCTTGATTTAAATCGTAATTATCGATTTGATTTGATTTTAATTAATAAAAAGTCAAACGGTTTAAAAATCAAACCGGATCATATATGGTTTGATTTTGAGTTTTTATAAACCAACTCAAACCAAATTGGATTGTTTATGTATATATTTATTTATTTATATTATAGTTTACATGTATAATACTCTAATTAGGTAAAAACTATATATGAATATTTGAATTGAGTTATATTAGTAATTGAAATTTGAAGTTTTATGGCATGTTGAACTTTAGGATGGTTTCATACTCTAGAAAACAATTTAAAGCAACTGTGAACTTGTTGATTGTAATTGGGCTAGCAGTGTTGAAAAATGTAAAAGGAAAGAGAATTGGGCTTAGGCCCAAACCGGCCGAACCAGTCTATCTTAAATTGGGTTGGTTTCTTTTATGACTTTTGTCAAAATAAAACCAAATCGAATCGTTATATTGTAATTTGTTATAACCATGATTTTAAAGTAAAATCATTCTAATCCGGACTTAGATGAGTCACCTTTTCTAGATGAAAAAGACAAACCGGCACCAACTGTTTGAGTTGCTAGAAGTGACATATCGTACCAAACCTCATCAAAGACTTATCCGATCAAACACTGTTGGTGTTGTTGGGGTTGGTTGCAGAATTGTCTAGACTTTTTTCACCCTTTAAACCTTTCAATTAGACTGTTAATGGTCCTAAAGACTTCACACTTTCGTAACATTGTTTTTACTTTCTAATTTTTTACTACAATAATATTATAATTTGAAGACCAAACCAAAAAAGCTTTGAAGTTTAAAGACCAGAGTGCCAAGGTCAAAATCATCTTTACAATATTTTAATTTTTGGGCCAGATGAGTTTTGAGCATTCCTTACGAGACTCAAAAGTAAAGATGAAAGAATCAAGGTGGTTAGTGTGAGTGGTTCGGCACTCTCATTCCTTAAGAAAGGTCAGGGGTTCGATCCATGCTCTCGTACGGAGTCACCACTTTGGCCAACACTTTACCCCTTACGGGCCGACTCGGTGTGAGTGGGGATTAGTCTGGGTTGTGGTTAAGGCTTAAAGGTGCCACCCATAATTGGGGCCCATCCAGGACCACCTCATGGTTTAGACAAAAAAAAAAAAGAAAGTAAAGATGAAAGAAAGAAAGAAATAAGTTTATATTTGATGCTCATATTATCATATACCCAAATTCCTTTGTGTATTTAGCATAAGGAAATGCAAGCAAAATGAGTTATCACTTCATCTAAAGAATCTTCCATTTTATACCATGAAAAAACTAGAAACTAGCGGTTATCCCTACACACCAGATTTCCAATCGCCATATTCCAATATCGCTTGTATTAAAAAAAAAAAAAAAAAAAATTAGAGCCGCTCCAATTGCAATTTATTTATTCCATCTATCTTTTCCTTTAAAAGCCCAACAAGAGATGGTTTTGGGGAAAATTACATGAACCAAAAGCCCATGTATACCCAGTAGCCCAATAGAACTAAAAGCCCATTACAGTCGGTGACTGCTAGTTTTAGGTTTTCCTTGGTACTAAAAACTCAAACCTAAAGTTTCCCTCTATATCCAAAATTAACAATTACCGGCGATTCTGCCGCCAACAGCCAATCTCCGACGTTCAATTATCAATCTACCTCTTCCTATTTTCTCTACGGCGTGTCGTTTTCAGGTCTCTCGCTCTCTTCTTCTCTCTGCTGGAAAGCTTCGATTTTGGATTGACGTAGTATTTCACTAGAATATATTCAACTCGAAGCATATTAGATGAATATGGAACATGGTTTTTTGTTTTGAAGCTTTGATTTGATCCTAGAAATTTTGTTCTGTTTTGTTTATCTGTGTTTTTTAATGGGTCTCTGATAATATATGTAATGAGTCATTGGGATGGTGCTCTGGTCATGCTCTAGTTTCATCTGAGATATTAGGTTTCGGATGTTATTTGACTTGGGCTTGCATTGGTTTCATGTTTCCTCTAGGCTGAAAAGGTTGCTAAATTTACTCCTTTATTTGTTATTTAAAATTTATAAAAATTTATTTGAATTCAATTGATAGAGGAAGTTGACTGGGAACTTTAATGTGTCACTAAACAGATGGATCTTGAAGCCAAAAGGTTTGGAAGGGGTAAGTAAGAAGCTTTAGATGATGAGAGGCTTGTTTTGTTTTTTTGCTTTCTCATGTGTTTGATTGCTATTAAAAGTTCATGTAATTGAGGCATGGTATCTCATTTTCAAACAAAGATTCTAGTTTTCTTTGCGTATTTTGTAATTCCTTGTAGATAAGTGTTTCTGGATTCACTGTTTATTAGAGCTTCACGTCTGGAGTAGTACGTGAGGATTAAACGCAGTGATATATCAATTAGAGCTTTACTTAACCCTTTTGATCGTGAAATGGTCACTTGGAAGAGTCCTGAGAAGGTTACCACTCAAACATATGAAAACTTTATGCTAAATTTTTTCCGGAGACTTCTATTTGAGAATTTGTATACATAGATTTTCTCTCCCGAGCAGGTGAGATATGGATAGGAAATTCAGTAATAAGAAACGACAGTTAACCTTGTTTCGCTCTTGTTAATTTTCGTGTGCTGTTATTAATCTATTCTTAGTCTCTCCTTATGCAAAGTGAATCACTGTAACAGTTAAGGTGCTTTCTTGAACCTGAAATTATTATCAGGTCCGAGGGAACTTGGTGGTGCTGGTGATCTCATAAATCTATATAAGCTTTGGCCTCATCATGAGTTCTTCTGCAAGAGATCACTGCCTTTGTCAATATCAGAGACTCATTATTTACATAATGTGGTGGGAGATAGATTAATCAGGAAAGGGGAAGGGATGGAATTGGATCAGCTCTTTCAAAGCAACCTTTATATGAGAGAAAAAAATGCACACATACATCCCTTTGATTTGGATGTACTTTGTGAAGCTTTTCCAATAAGGGAAACAACTCCTGTTAAACTGCCTTCTGTAAGACATTTTCTACACCTTTGTTTGCTTAGTTTGGTCAGTCCTCCTTTTCGGGGGTGGGTGGAGGGTTTCCTTTGTCTTGTGAATTCTGTGACATAAAGTCGTTTTTGTATGGTGTTAACAGGCAGAGAAGGGGATCCGTACCTCAGTGGTGAAGTCAAAGAGTGAATTAGAAAACAAGGAGAGGAAGCATAAGAAGCACAATGACAAGGATAAAGATCATAAGAAGCACAAAAACCGTCACAAGGACAACAGTGGTGATGCTGTTAAGAACATAAATGTTGATTACGGCTTGAAAACTGAGCAGTTGAAGGAACACCAAGATATGGTAAGAACATGACTCTTTTTATTGCCCATGTAGGGATTGCATGGTTCAATTGTTTACCCTTCTCTAATATGAACATAACTAGGCATAGAAGAATAATAGATTACAGCACCTGATATGGGTGGCCATCTACCAGTACTTTGTGTGTGTCTCCATTGTTTGAGTGTAGGATGTTTCAGAAACAGTTGACAAATGCTGTGCCACTTGTATCTTTCTAGCTTTGAAAGTACACTTTAGTTAGTGCTGCTGTAATCAGTCAATTATTGGTAGTGATAAGTGGTAAATGGTGTCACAGTTGATTTAATTTAAATCAAGAGATAGGGAGGGATTGAATGATCTTCATCTACTCACTTTTGTGATGGCGATGTTTGTCTCAAATGTAAAGGGTTGCTATGATGTGGGACTCTATGAGAGTGCATTATAACATGACTTTACTCGAAAGTAAAATAAATTACTGCCTTTAGGGTTCCGACCTTGTATGAGCTGTGTTAATTTGCCGTTTCGAATTTGAGTGGAGTACCAGATTCTGTTTTTGTAACATGAAATTGTGCCAATAAAAAAGAGGAAAAAATGTAAGATATCGAATTTTACATCTCCTCTGGATCTTCATGTGCGATCCCTATTCTTTTTATCTCTTTACAGTTCATTCAGAAGAGGAGGCTCGATGGTTTTGAAGATCCTTCTGTCTTTGGACATAAAAAAGCCAGGTAATGGAGGCAAAAGTTAGAATGGTCTTTGAGAAGGATATTCTGGGTTTTCATTGTTTTGTTATTTGCTTTTCTACTTTTGTTTTAGCAAGTTTGTGTTTGTGTTTTTTGTTTCTTTTCCTTTCCATTTGCTTAATTCTGACTAGTGTTCCTGCCAACTTTGTCATGATCAGAATCCAAAGATAACTGAGACTGGCAAGCTAGAGGTGACCGCCGACTGGTTTAAAACAACATTGCCTCGGTTTCTCTGGATTTTGTAACTCCCAAAAGTCCTCAGTTAAGCTAGCAGTCAATTCATCAAAAGAAAAGGGACAAGGCAAACTATGAAGTATTTTAGACAATATAAACCTAGGATCCTGTTTATCATTGAACACCTGTCACATGGTTTATATGTTAAAATGACAGAAATGTAAAACAATCTGCTTTTGTTTTATTGTTCCAATCTATCTTCTTCCATCTTGCTTTGTGTAATTTCACATCCATGTTTCTTGATGAATACCTGTTTTTCTTAACGTAGATTGAGGACAGGAGAAATTTGAGGTGGACGGATAAAAATGCCGGTATCCGTATCTGTAGAATCATCAGTGTTAGGACTTATGAAATATTGATAGCGTTTTATTAGTAAAATTATGAAAAGGATATAAAATCTACTTGACAACGTAGACACTTTGGATGAAATTTTAAGTGTGCTTCTCTTCTCACCTCTATATTTCAGATCCCATTCTCGCTTCATGAAATTATTAATTACTAATTTTCCCCTTTACGAAATTGTTAAATTTAACACGAATGAGTAATTTTTTTTTTAAAAAGGGTGATTGCAGTCGTCAGTGTCCTGCAATTATTGACAATGACACCGATCTTAGGATCGACTATTTAACAAATTGGATTCGAGATATGACCAGCAATGGAAGTTTATAATCCATTTTTCTAAAAGCCTCGGTCTAAAAAATCTAAAATCTTAAAAGTTTAGAACAAAGGGATTTGAACATATTGGTAAAGGGATTTGAACTTTGGCCTTTTAAGGCAGGGCAAATGCTTCCTCTCCTAGTAGCTGCATGCCTATGGAATTGGCCTGAAATCAAGCCCGAGTCTTGTAATTTGGGCACTATGTGGAGGAATTCGGGTGCGTGTCAATGAGAGACATGTGAAGAGAGATAGGAAGGGAGAGACAATGAAATCAACGTCAGATGTGGAGAGTTAGGTTTTCCCTAAGAAAATTGGACCTCTCAACAACCTATGAAAGCTTAGAGTTAAATACCATTATGACTTGTGACGGTGGATTTAACTACTGCTTAAGCACACTAGTTGCGGGCCATAATCTTGGTATTTAACTTATCGAACTTCTGAGCTAAATATAGAGTAATGAACCATCAACGTTTGCATCAATCGTGGAGTTACTAGTCGGTATCCAATTTAATATGACAAAGGACAGACAACAAGAAAACAACTGATGATTGGTACATCACCAGATCAGATTGATTGAAATTTTTAGAATAGTGGTAAATTTACATCCCGGTTTGAATCTTGCATCAACGGCGAAAAAGGTCATAGACGACCAATTTTCACTGTCGTTTGGATTGAAAATTGAAGGATTCACTATTATGCCTAAGAAAGGGGCCTAAATTATTAAAAAAATTACATGAAATGGACTTTAAAAACACACCCAAAGCTCATTTACAACATAACAAAGAGGCTTCGAACTTTCTATAAATTACAAAATTGCCATCGATTTCTTAAAACGAGCCCAACCCCAAAACCTTATAAAAAAAAACCTAAAACACTCAAGATGTCATCAAAGTAATTTAATAATCAAAATTAAATTCAACATGACCAGTTATCATTTTTTGGGTTTGTTTATAGAAATTAAATGGTGTATGATTTATTTATATCGCTAATGCCAAGAAAGAGTATAGTTTATAGAAATTAAATGGTGTAGGATTTATTTATATCGCTAATGCCAAGAAAGAGTATATAACTAATTTAGGGACGGACCCAGGATTTTAAAATGGGGTGGGCTAAATTTAGGCACTAAGTAGATAGAAAACTCAACAATATCATGTGATTTCATTGATAACAAAAACAAAACAAAAAAAAGAAAAAAGAAAAAAGCAAGAACAATAAAATCAATTACAAATCCTATTTGATAATTCATAACTCATAAACTGAAACTGATGCCCCAATTGCAAATCCTAATTGATACTTCATAAACTCCAAAAAAAATCCTCAAATTAAAGCATCAAGAAATTGAGAGAAGCTTACATGACGAATATAGGAACTTGGTTCACTTGAATTAAGTCTTGAAGGTGAGTGCAGCAGCAACAATAGCGTTTTTTTTTACTCTACATGTGAGGGTAGGGTGGTGCTTCTTTTTTTTTCTTTTTCTTTTTTTCTACATACTATGTGTGAGTTACTTTTTAAGATATTTAGTCATATACCCATTCTTAGCACTAATAATATAGATAAACCCTACATCATTGAATTTCTATAAACAAACCCAAAAAATGATAGCTGACCCTATTAAATTACTTTGATACCCTATTGAGTATTTTGGGTTTTTTTTTAATGAGGTTTTGGGGTTAGGCTTGTTTTAAGAAAGTTTTGTAATTTATAAGAAGTTAAAAACCTCTTTGTTATGTTGTAAATGGGCTTTGGGTGTGTTTCTAAAGTCCATTTCATATATGGTATTTTTATAATTTGGGCTCCTATATTGAGTATAATAGTAAATCTCCCTTAATTTTTTTTAATCTTTTTTATCTTTTGCTATGCTGTGTGTGAGGTTTCCCCCCTCTTTTTATTGACTACGTGCTGTGCAAAGAGGAGAACTAGATGAGGTTAGGTTATTTAAATTGGGTGAGCTAGGATTTTATTTTTTTGGTTGGAAAAAAGAAGCCACCTGGGCTATAGCTAGGTTTGCCAAACTAAAGGTTCATCCCAACTAAATATATATTGAAGAGTTATGCTACCGTCGTCTAGTGGTGCCACAAGACACCAGTAGGCATTAATACCACACCAAACCACCACAGGAATTCCACACAACACTCGTGTATAAAACCTCAATTCCAAGTGGAAAACTCAACTCATCAACAACCATTTTCAATTTCAGTACTCTTCTAGTTCCTCTCCTAGTTGACTAGTTTCTTCATCCATGTGATGGGTAGCCTCAAATTCGAGCATCCACAAGAAAACAATTCTGCCCACATGACCTCTGGCCCTCTAGACCCTGAGGAATTCAGAAGGCAAGGCCACATGGTCATAGACTTCATTGCAGATTATTACAAAACAATTGAAAAATACCCAGTTCTTAGCCAAGTCCAACCGGGCTATCTCAAAAAACGCTTGCCAGAATCTGCCCCATACGACCCTGAACCCATTGAAACCATCCTCCAAGATGTTCAAGATCACATTGTCCCTGGCCTAACACATTGGCAAAGCCCTAACCACTTTGCCTACTTCCCTGCTGCTTTCAGCACCGCAGCGTTCCTTGGCGAAATGCTCTCCACTGGTTTCAATGTTGTGGGGTTCAATTGGATGGCATCCCCAGCTGCAACTGAGCTTGAAACCATTGTCATGGATTGGCTTGGAGATATGCTCAAACTTCCCAAGTCTTTCCTTTTCTCTGGCAACGGCGGCGGTGTATTGCAAGGCACTACTTGTGAGGCCATTGTTTGTACCATGGCAGCTGCCAGGGATCAAATGCTAAGCCAAATTGGTAGAGAGAATATTGGGAAGCTAGTTGTGTATGGATCAGACCAAACACATAGCGCGCTTCAAAAAGCTTCTCAAATTGTTGGTATTCACCCAAAGAATTTCAGGGCCATAGAGACCACAACATCAACATCATTTGCACTATCACCTGAGGTGCTAAAATCGACTATTTGTTCAGACATAGAAGCTGGGCTTGTCCCATTGTTTCTATGTGCCACAGTGGGAACAACCGCAATAACAGCCGTTGATCCATTGGGGCCACTCTGTGAGGTGGCAAAAGAACATGACATGTGGGTTCATGTGGACGCTGCATATGCTGGAAGTGCTTGCATTTGTCCAGAGTTTCAATACTTTGTCGATGGCGTTGAGGGTGCAGATTCATTCAGTCTCAATGCACATAAATGGTTCTTCACAACCCTCGACTGTTGTTGCCTCTGGGTTAAGAATTCGAGTGCTTTGGTGAGCTCACTTTCGACGAATCCGGAGTTTCTGAGGAACAAGGCCACGGATTCGAAGCAAGTGGTAGACTACAAGGACTGGCAAATAGCCTTGAGCAGGAGGTTCAGGGCCATGAAATTATGGCTTGTGCTTAGAAGCTATGGTGTGGGCAACCTTAGGAACTTTCTTAGGAGCCATGTGAAAATGGCCAAGATTTTTGAAGGGCTTGTGGGGATGGACAAAAGGTTTGAGATTGTGGCCCCTAGGCATTTCTCTTTGGTCTGTTTTAGGGTTTCTCCATCAGCAATTAGCAAGGCTAATCCAAGCCTAAGTGATCATGATAATGGTAAGCTTAAGGCACATAATTATGAGTTGTTAAATGGTGTAAAATGTGTAGTTAACGAGGTGAATAGCAAGTTGCTGGAGGCGATTAACGGGTCGGGTCTGGTGTACATGAGCCATGCTGTGGTTGGAGGGATGTATGTGTTACGTTGCGCCATTGGAGCAAGTCTCACTGAGGAAAAGCACGTAGCCATGGCTTGGAAGGTGGTGCAAGAGCATGCAGATGCCATCCTTGGAACTAAGATTATTGTGGATCAAACTTAGATATAATTTGTCTAGTTTTTATTAATTGTTTATATATCAGTGCAATTGTCATTTGTGGTTTTTGTTTTCCGAAATAGATTGTCCTGGTGTTATATGTATTAAATATCATTATCTATAGAAGTATCTGAATTCTTTGTTTTCTGAAATAGATTGTCCTGGTGTTATGTATTAACTTTGCAGAAGAAATAAATAAATAAAAATCACTACTACAAAAAAAAGGACAATAGCCACAACAAACCACCAATGTCTATTTTGTGGTAAGTTGAGGGCACGTAGCAGAGAAGGAAGGTGGCGGTGGCGAAGTGGTGATGAAGCAGGTAGAGGTTGTCGGGGAGTTGGTTTAGTTGGACCGGGGTGGGGCCATGAACCCAGTCCATGTAGAGCATTTATACAGAGGATGAGATGAGAAACGTGGGGGGGTTTTGGGTGTGTAGTGCATGCATGAGTTACAAGTTTTGATATTATATTTCGTCCATGTCTGCAGTTGGACTAGCTTCATCAACTGTGTGTGTATAAAGATACTAATTAACGTAGATGTCTTCAGAATTTTTTCGTGGAGAAATTTTAAAAAGTTCAGAATAACTTTGTGTTTGTAGATAATCAAAGGATTAATCTATTACAATTAATTCGTAATATCAATATTCGTTTTACTATTTGATAAAACAAAACTCTTACTCACAGCTAGTATCTACCGTAAAAAACACACATGCACAAGTTAGTGACAAGAATTGCTAATCCAAAAGAAAAATAAGAGGAAACATCCTAAAAACAAATTCGAGGTGTGGCCAATCTGGGTCTGGTTCAGGGTCTTGCTCTGATTCTATGTTAAATTCAGAGAGACGGGTCAACGGCTCATTATTAGCAACACCGATATTGTCCCCAACTTGACCACCTACAAACCTCAGAAGGTATAAGGTTTTATCACAAAAGGCCTCAATGATATTAGGAGTGGAACCACTTATTATAAATTGTAATTTATTTAATCAAGTTTCCAATGTGGGACTTTATATTCTTCAACAGGGCCCACCGCAAATTTGGCCACAAATTAGTTATGCTGTGGAAAAACACATTGGCAACACCATGTGTAAGGGACACCATGACAGGCACCTACAAACCCCAGAAGGTATGAGGTTTTATCACAAAAGGCCTCAATGATATTAGGAGTGGAACCACTTATTATAAATTGTAATTTATTTAATCAAGTTTCCAATGTAGGACTTTATATTCTTCAACAGGACCCACCGCAAATTTGGCCACAAATTAGTTATGCTGTGGAAAAACACATTGGCAACACCATGTGTAAGGGACACCATGACAGGATTTGTGGCCAATCCGTGGCTTACACTAGCATTGGCCATGGTGTATCCGTGGCTAAAATTGAGCTTTTCTAGTAGTGAATGCAAAGGAAATTGGAAGAAAAAGGGTAGAAACGATATTATCTAATTTACACTATTCTTAGATTGGCCTCGAGGTCTGTTCTCGTATATGCTTATATTTGCCATTTGGGTGGGGCCCGAAGCTTGTTGCAGCTTAGGACGATGATGTTTTGGTACGTGGCAGCATACCAATGGTCGAATAGCATGTTGGAAATTTTTGCATGTTCTCGGTATATCAAAAAAGACAACAACTATTTTCATCAAAAAAAAAAAAGACAACAACTATTCTTTGGTTTCCTCTGCACATGATGGTGGGCTGCCACAAGAGCATATGGATATGTCTAAAGGACAACAGATTTTCTCGCAGGAGAAGACTACTAGTCATGCCTTTAACAATGTTGAAGGTATGACCATTGGCTCTTAATTAGGGTTTAGCCCTAAGGGTTCTCGCTTCTTTCTAATTCTTTTATGGATTTAGTCAGTTGGAATGTCAGAGGTGCTGCGTGCACAAGCTTTCAAAATAATGTTGCGGAGTTGATCCGTGGTAATCGTCTGGATTTATTGTTTATTTGTGAACCTAGGATTAGCGGGAAGAAAGCCCTTGATATGATTAAATCTCTCGGGTTCTCTTCTTATGAAATTGTTGATCCTGTGGGTTTCTCAGGAGGGTTATGGTTATTGTGGAATGATACTAAAGTTAGTATCCAGATTTTAGGCACTACTGATCAAGTAATTACAGCTTGTGTGTCCTGGCATGGTAAAGCTCCTTGGTTATTGTCTACAGTCTATGCTAAACCGTGTGGAATTAAGCGGGAGAAATTATGGGATTATCTCCAGTTTGTGGCTAGTTGTCATCAATTACCATGGATGCTTGCTGGGGACTTTAATGAGATGTTGCATATTGAAAGATTTTAAAAGGTGGTTTACTGAGAATGAAATGATCGATTTGGGGTACTCAGGTCCTCGATTCACTTGGACTAATAATAGGGTCTTCAAAAGACTTGACAGAGCTGTTTGTAATTTGAAATGGAGGCAAATGTTTGCTGAGGCACATGTCGTTCATCTTCCTAGGACAAAATCTGATCATTGTCCCATCAAAATATGTCTGCAGTCGAGACTTTCTTCTACTCCTAATGATAGACCTTTTAGGTTTGAAGCAATGTGGATGCAACATGAGAGCTTTAAGGATTTTATTGGGCAAAGGTGGGGGCAAATTTCTGGTTCTGCTATGGACAAGTCCTACGGTTTAATTGAGTCTTTGAAGTTGTGGAATCGTAGTGTTTTTGGTCATCTAAAACAGAGGAAAGCTCGCATTCTCGCAAGATTGGCTGGTATTCAAATAGCTTTGTGTCAGGGACCTAATCGATTTCTGAGTCAGTTGGAGTGTTTCTTGGTGCAAGATTTTAATTCTTTGCTTGATCAGGAAGCTCTTTTTTGGAAGCAAAAATCTAGACTTAAATGGCTGCAAGAGGGAGATAGGAACACAAATTTTTTCCATATGACAACTTTAATAAGGCGTCGAAGGAATAAGGTTGAACGGCTTAAGGATGACAATGGGGTTTGGGTGGAGACGGCTGATAGCTTGAAAGCTCTTGCTATCAATTTCTTCACCAAGTTATTTTCTCAAGGTCAAGTGGACTCTAACTCTGTGATCATTCCTAATCTTTTTCCTTGTATGGACCCTGTGATTGTTTCTAATTTACTAAGACCTATTGAGATGTCTGAAATTAAAACTAGCTTGTTTAATATTGGTCATCTCAAAGCTCCTGGAATTGATGGGTTCCCATCTAGTTTTTATCAGAATCAGTGGAGTTTATGTGCTAAGGATATTGGTGATCTTGTTTGCAAAGTGTTTCAAGAAGGGATTTTGCTTGAACGGTTGAATGAGACCTTGATTACACTTGTTCCCAAATTAGATAGTCCTCAAACTATGGCTCAATTCCGGCCTATTAGTTTGTGTTGTACTCTCTATAAAGTCATTTCCAAGATTATTGTTGCTCGTTTAAGGCCTTTTATGGGTCGTTGGATAAGTCCTCATCAAGTCAGTTTCGTCACAGGTAGGCAAATCATTGATAATATTGTGATTGTGCAAGAGCTTATGCATAAATTTCAAGCTTCTAAGGGGCGGAAAGGTTTTTTTGCATGGAAAATTGATTTGTCAAAGGCATATGACAGATTGAATTGGCAATTTGTTGAGCAAGTGTTGTATGAATTAGCTCTACCTCCTCAGTTTATCAAGTTGAGCATGGCTTGTGTCTCTACAGTGAAGTACAAAGTTTGTATTAATGGAGAGCTTACTGAGGCTTTTTATCCTGGAAGTGGGATTAGATAGGGTGATCCCCTTTCTCCTTACTTATTTGTGCTTTGTATTGAGAAGTTGTCTCACATGGTGATGGATGCAGTGTCTAATAATAAATGGAGGCCTGTGAAATCTTCTCAAGCTGGTCCTGCGGTCTCTCACTTGTTCTTTGCAGATGATCTAATTTTATTTGCGGAGGCCAGTCATACGCAGGCCAAGGTTATGAAGCATTGTTTGGATATGTTTTGCCAAGTTTCAGGGCAGGCAGTGAATTTTGATAAGTCTGTGATCTATTGCTCTCCCAACACTAGTAAGGAGGTGGCTAGAGAAATTAGCTCTATTTGTGGTTCACCCTTCACAACAAACTTGGGAAGATACTTAGGCATGCCTCTTTTACACTCCAGAATCAACAGGGATACTTATTATGGGTTGGTTGACAAAGTCCACAAGCGATTGGCTAGCTGGAAAAGCAAGTTGTTATCTCTCGCTGGCCGGGCTACTTTGATTCATGCTGTCATGGCAGATATTCCTGTTTATGCTATGCAAACAGTCAAGCTTCCTATGAGCATTTGTGATGATCTAGATCGTCTTAACCGTAATTTCTTTTGGGGAGGAAGTGAAAAGAAACATAAGGTTCATTTGTGTCAGTGGAACTTAGCTTGTCGTCCTAAGAGTTACGGGGTCTTGGGGTTTAAGAAAACCTCACATATGAATCAGGCTCTATTGGCTAAAATCGAGTGGAGAATTCATAGCGAAGATAAGGGGCTTTGGGTTCAGATTTTTGAAGACAAGTATTTGAAAGGGAATTCTATATTGGTGGAATCTTTGCAGGACAAAAAGGTTTGCTCCTCTACTTGGAGAGGTGTTCTACATGGTGTTGGCTTACTCAGGAAGGGTTTGATGTGGAGAATTGGGAAAGGGGATGGTGTTCAATTTTGGAAGGATAGATGGGTTTCTGATGTTCCCCTCAACCAACATGATGGTGTTTTAAATATGGTTCAACCTGATTGTACTGTCTCTGAGTTTATGGCTGATGGTTGGTGGGATATTGGCAAGTTGCGGTCTGTTCTCAATGAGGACTTGGTACAAAGGGTTGTTAGCTTTCCGGTTGGTTTCTATAGTGATTTGAGGGATGTGCAAATTTGGAAACAAGCTGCCCATGGAGTTTTTACTGTTAAAACGGCATATTCGTTACTCTTCAAGGATCAAGGTCGACATGATCCTTTTTGGGACATGTTGTGGAAACTCAAGTTCCCTCCTAAGCTTAAATTCTTCTGTTGGTTGGTGTATCAAGGGAAAATTCTTTCCAATGAGCAGAGGGTTATAAGGCATTTAGCTGTGGATCCAACTTGTACTCTTTGTGGCTGGAGCTCTGAAACTGTGCTTCATATTTTAAGGGACTGCCCTCGAGCTAGGAGAGTTTGGCTAGAGGTGATTCCTATGCCAGGTTCGTCTTTTTTTGCTACTAACCTGCAACATTGGCTGCATATTAATCTGTTGTCTAACAGAAAAGGGATTTATGGTCTGCCTTGGAACTTGTTGTTTATTTTTACTTGTTGGTATGTCTGGAAGTGGAGAAATCAGTATGTCTTTAATGGGGATGATTTGCCTTTCTACTCGCAAACTTGTATCCTGACTGCTGCTAACGATTGGTTCTTTAATGCATATGCGTCTAAGGCCAAAACTACTAAGATTCAGGTGTCGCTTGCCTGGGAACCTCCTGAGAAAGGGGTTTTTAAATTGAATGTTGATGGTTCTCGGAAGAATGGCTCTGGGGCTATTGGTGCGAGGGGCGTGATCCGTATTCCTTTGGTGCTTGGATTGGTGGCTTTGCTGTCAATTTAGGGATTGGGCAGGTTTTGGAAGCAGAGCTGTGGGGGTTGTTTTTTGGTCTCAAAGCTGCTGTTGGTAAAGGCCTTTCAAAGATAATTGTGGAAATGGATTCTGCTATTGCTGTCCATCTCATTCAGCAGCCTGTTTTAGCTACGCTCCATCCGCTTGTTGGTATTGTGGCTAGTTGTGGTAAGCTCATGAACCAGTTTGATAGTTGTGCAGTTATACATATCTACAGAGAAAAGAATTGTGTCGCAGACGGATTAGCTAATTGGAGCTATAACATGGGTCTTGGCGTGTGTTATTTTGATTTTGCTCCAAGTTGGATAGGTTCTTTAGTTATTGACGACTTGATTGGGGTGTCTCGTCCCCGTCTTGTTTGTGTTGATTTGTTGTAGTTCTTTTGCTTGGGGTTTTCCCCCCCAATTCACCAACAAAAAAAAAATTTGAGCTCATCTTTTAGCTGTTGTTGAAACTTTGTCAATGTTCACGGAATTTTACAAGTGTCAAAACTTCATTGGTTTTAAGGAGGAGTTCCTCAATTTTAGGGAGCCAAGTCATGCTCTTTTAAATAGTCCTTGCTAAATCGGTAAGGAAAAAAGCTTGGCTCCTTAAAATTGAGAAGAAGCTCATCCTCAAAACAAAAGGAGTTTTGAAACTTATCAATTCCTTAAAATTGGATTTAAGGTGCGAAAAGCAATAGATGGATGTTTATAATAAGTTTTTATCAAAAATAGCCAAAATCCACCTATATGGACTTAAATGCCCTCAAAACTAAAACCCACATAAAACTGCTACTGTTTGATTTTAGATATTTTTTTCAGGATGAATTCGGTAAACGTTAGGAAAAGGAAATCGCACTAGTGGGTTCGATCTCTAACTTTCCATTCCATTCCTCCTCTCCTCCGTCCCAGATGCAGCCCTCTCCTCCATCTCCATACAGAGCACTAATCACATACAATTAATACACACTTTTATATTCAAGTCAAAGTAGCCAACATAACAAAACAAGTCAAAGTAACTTTTTTCTGGATCCCACATCAATCTTTCTAAGTCCAATGAATAATAAAAGAAGCTCATCCTAAAAAAAAAAGGAGTTTTGAAACTTATCAATTCCTTAAAATTGGATTTAAGTTGCGAAAAGCAATAGATGGATGTTTATAATAAGTTTTTATCAAAAATAGCAAAATCCACCTATATGGACTTAAATGCCCTCAAAACTAAAACCCACATAAAACTGCTACTATTTGATTTTAGATATTTTTTTCAGGATGAATTTGGTAAACATTAGGAAAAGGAAATCGCACTAGTGGGTTCGATCTTCTAACTTTCCATTCCATTCCTCCTCTCCTCCGTCCCAGATGCAGCCCTCTCCTCCATCTCCATACAGAGCACTAATCACATACAATTAATACACACTTTTATATTCAAGTCAAAGTAGCCAACATAACAAAACAAGTCAAAGTAACTTTTTTCTGGATCCCACATCAATCTTTCTAAGTCCAATGAATAATAAGGGTTGGTTTGGTTTGGAAATGCCTCTCTCACAACAAATTTTTCAAGTCTGTTTAAGTCCAATTGAATAATAAGACTTTGCTTGATGTGTCGTACTCCTTCCTACAAGCGTTAGAGAGTAGTCAAAATATTTACATATTGCTTTCTTGTCGCTTAACTCTGCTAGTTTGGCCAAACAAGAGGAGGTTCTTGCGGTGCTTTATCGAGGTGTCATTCATGAGGTATTATGAGTTCATATTTGCGTTGATGATTTCCCAAGTCCATCTTAATTGTGGTTTTTAGGTTTATGTGGGTTTTAGTTTTAAGGATATTTAAGTCTTTTTAGATATATTTTCGGCTATTTTTGTAAGTTTTTATAAAAACTGACATTTATAAAAATATGGGGTAAATTTTGGCTATTTTTGATAAAAACTCGTTTATAATCCTTTTTCAAGAAAGCCTTGGCATTAAAAAAAACTCAAATTTTAAAGTGAAAAAATAATTTTTTGAAGACACTAAATAAATTAGTGTGAGTGAAATACACTTAGCACAAAAGGAATGGAGAAGGCAAGAAGGGAAAGGTATACCTTTCCTTTTGTGCCACAGATATTCAATGCACCAACTAGAGAATTCGTGTACCAGAAACACCAGATTCATTGAAATATATATATAGTGTCATTTCCAAATCTAGAGATTAGTATTTACTCCATCCTAACACATACGTTACTCTCAATCTATATAAACATTTCTGCCCAGAACTGCCGCAGCCCATCAACAAACCATTTTCAATTTCAGTACTCTTCCCAGTTAACTAGTTTCATCCAAATGGGAAGCCTCAAATTCGAGCTTCCACAAGAAAACATTTCTCCCGATATGCCTGGGCCTCTGGACCTTGTGGCGTTCAGAAGACAAGGCCACATGATCTGATTATTACCAAAACATAGAGAAACACCCAGTTCTAAGCCAAGTCCAACCTGGCTATCTCAAAGAACGCTTGCCAGAATCTGCCCCATACAACCCTGAACCCATTGAAACCATCCTCAAAGATGTTCAAGACCACATTGTCCCTGGCCTAACACATTGGCAAAGCCCTAACCACTTTGCCTACTTCCCTGCAACTATCAGCACCGCAGGGTTCCTCGGCGAAATGCTCACCACCGGTTTCAATGTTGTGGGGTTCAATTGGATTGCATCCCCACCTGCAACTGAGCTCGAAACCATTGTCATGGATTGGCTTGGAGATATGCTCAAACTTCCCAACGCTTTCCTCTTCTCCGGCAACGGGGGCGGTGTGTTACAAGGCACTACTTGTGAGGCCATTGTTTGTACCATGGCAGCCGCCAGGGATCAAATGCTAAGCCAAATTGGTAGAGAGAATATTGGGAAGCTAGTTGTGTATGGATCAGACCAAACACATAGCACGCTTCAAAAAGCCTCCCAAATTGTTGGGATTCACCCAAAGAATTTCAAGGCCATAGAGACCACAAAATCAACATCATTTGCACTTTCACCCGAGGTGCTAAAGTCGACTGTTTGTTCAGACATAGAAGCTGGGCTTGTCCCATTGTTTCTTTGTGCCACAATTGGAACAACTGCAGTAACAGCCGTTGATCCATTGGGGCCACTCTGCGACGTGGCAAAAGAACACGGCATGTGGGTTCATGTGGACGCTGCATATGCTGGAAGTGCCTGCATTTGTCCTGAGT